TCTGAGGTACTTGTATGTGGAGACCACCTCGATTTCCGTATTGTTCATGATGACAAGTCTATGTTGAGATATGATCTTTGAAGATCGGGTCCTTCAGAGGTTTTAAAGATATCTGCAGCTTAGATGGAAGAATTTGTTGACAGTACATTACTAGGAAGGCTGCACTCCTCAAATTTGGAAGTCCTTAGAAAATTGGAAGGAAAAAAAAAACCCATTGTAACCAGAAAGCCTTTAAAATTTCAATGAAACATGGTGGCAACACCATCTGGTTCTTCATAGGCGTCTCTTCAGCAATGACAGGAAAGCTGGTCCAAGTTGATGGAGCATTGTTAGATCTAAATAAAAGCCAGCCATGAAAACAAACCTGTTTGAGTTGGCAAAAGAAAAGATGTAGGTTAAATTTCCAGTACGGAAAAGAACCCATAGCCAAAATTCTAATGGGAGATCTACAGTAAGGCTTGTTTACAGATGCTTTCTATCTAACCTAACTGATCTTGAGCTATTCCGGATGTGTAAAACCAGTAGAGGCATGCAACAAAAGTGTTAAAATAATTGGGGTCCTAGAATGTACAAACATAACATGCTGTTTGTTGGCCTGCTACATCATTTAGTATGATTGAGCTTTGTAGTTGTGACTTTTCAAAATGTAAAATTATTTTCTTCCAATCCTGATGAAAAATCCTTGCCTTCACTGCGACGACATCTCCTTGCACAGGTGCTGCCTATTTCATGATCTTGTTGTAGTGCTGCTGTAGTTTTTATATTGTGACACTTCTAGTATTTAGGCTCTTTTGACCACGGCTTAGATTATCCTCCTGGATCCGCGTATTCCTCTGTGTGTCCTTGCTGCTTAAGGACGCTGCTCCTTCTCTCTCCTGGATCTCTGGTCTCAGGTCAGTAACGAGCAACGAGTACCGCCTCTCTGGACGACACTCCTTCTTCTGGGCACAGAATGAACTTTGCCAGGTTGGTGGCTTTCATGCTGGTCGTTCCTCGTTTGAGTTTTGAAGTTACTGACCTGAGCGTCTACTCTTGCAATGTTTCCAGTGAGCCCGCCGCAGCAGAAAAGCAACCACACGCTACTTTTAATAAATAAGATTTTCATATGTTAAAAGCATTACATCAGTTGAAACCTCAAAAAAGTTGATTTTGCAGGACAGGCCCTTAAAACTTTTGTTTTTGTCCTTTTAATTACTGGCCGTCAGCACTTTAAATTATGATTCCTAATGCTCACTAGTTTAAACAGTTGACATTCTGTAACCGACTTTGGGTTAGACACAGCTTTATAAAGAATGCTTCTCAAACACTTTGGAACATGCACATTTTCTCTTATTTCTTCTTTCTTTCAAAAACTATGTCTAAAACTCATTGGAAAAGTTTAAGGCTCCTGGATTCATATCCCATAGAGATAGGTTGTAGCTTTATTCACCATAATTTCATCTTTCAAATTAAATTAGTCTGAAGATGTCTTATTCTGAGAATCTTAAGGAACTATGCTATACTTGTCACCCACTACTAATATTTTATCTAATACTAGTAAACTGACTGTCAAGTCTTTTAAGACCTCTTTAAGATAAATTATTCACAATAAATTTTTATTGTGAATAATTAATTTTTTTTTTTGTATTTGAAAGTCCATGTTTTTCAGGCAAATTCTGTCCTATATCTTGGATACCTTACCTTGTTACAGATGTTTTTGCTGAGCAAAACCAGATGAGTTTGAATCATTTCCAGTAGCTATATGGCACATATTTCCCTGAAGAAACATGACATACAGTATTTTCTTTCATTATTTTGTCTATGATTCTTGGCTTAATATAAACTAACATAATATCACAAATATTAATCACAAACTATAAATTGGTTTGATGATCTTTTAGATTTTTCATGAAGTATTGTACCACTGACTGTAATCACCAAAAGCCTTAGCATTGCTCTTCTTCGGGAAATAACTAAGCAGAGCCGGTCGGGCTGACGGTAAAGAGGCTGGAGAAACAGATTGTTGGTCTTTGTCTTGTGATTTATAACAACGCAAGCCCCTTTTAGGATTTACTGCTGGTTGTATGGCTACTTCCAGTCAGTGACAGCCTGATTTGCCAAGTTGAACCGGCAGAATTTCAACGTTTTTTACAGAGAAATATTTTTGCCATCTGACCAGAAATTATGAAGAGTAAGTACAGAAATAGCTTGTTTCCATTGTCACTTACACGTATCAGTCATTCAAAGTACTCATTCAAAACTTTTCCCACAATTTTTCATAATAAGGCTACAGATTTAATATGCTTGATTTGGATTTTATGTAACCAATGGTTGCTCTTTCTTCTGAAAACAAATAAGTGGTTGTGACATCTATGGTGGCAACAAATACTGTTATGCTTTTGACATATCTGTGGAGGATTTGTATATTTGCAGAATGGCTAAAACCTACAAATTTTTTTTGTTTTTCAGTCTGTATCAGTTTGAATCACAGGGTTGAATTTGGTTGTTTCTCTAGACTTTGACTAGGCCACTCCAAAACCTTAATGTCATGATGATTTCAAATGCATTTTTTTCATCAGTCCAAAAAATAATCTTCTAAAAATGTGAGATATGAAGGTTTGTAACTGTAATACAAGCTGTTGGATATTTTTGAGAAGCAGTTATTATAGAAGCAAGTGTCCTTCTTTCTTTTATAAGACAATTCTACCAATGAGCTTCCACATTATTTTCACATATGAACTTTCCTGAGAATGCCATTACTGCCCAGTTGCTTTCTTATTGTTGAATAGAAGACTTAACTTAATAATGTACCTGATGTGTGGCCTTCTTTTCTGTCTCTCTAAATCAGGGGTGCTCAAGTCCAGTCCTCAAGAGCTACCATCCTCTAACCCTTACATGCATCTCTTCTCTTACACACCTGAATTTAAAGGCTCAATCCCCACATTTAGCTCAGCATAGGCATGGTAACGAGCTCATTTGATTCAGCTGTGTTAAAATGTGGTGCATCAAAAAGCTGCAGGATAGAATGAGGGAAGTGTTGGAGAGGTTGAGGGCTGGAGTAGACGCGTGGATGGTCGTTTGGTGCATGGCGCGTGTTTTGAAGCTGCTTGTGGAGAAATGTCCTGGGCCGTGAGTAGTGAGGAAACAGGAAGCGATTCTTGTGGGATGGAAGAGGGAAATAGTGACAATGAAGGTTGGAAGATAGCAACATCAAAAAATGAGAAAAAGCGGAAAAAACAGAGATCAGTTAAAGGGGAATCTAGTTCAGAACAATCCAGTGATGATCAATCCATACATTCCACAGCAAAACAAAATGAATTCAAAGTCATATTCAAAGTCGTTAATCAGGCAGACTCTTTTACAAATTGGAATCCGGTTCACTTAACAAAAACCATCAATAAACTTGTTGGAGAAGTCAGAGGTGCCGGAATTCTGTACAGTGGAGACCTGCTAATTAACTGCAGAGACAGCGCCCAGCAAGGCAAAGCAATACGGATCAACAAAATTGACGGGATAAGAGTTCAGTGCAGCCTAATGGAGAACAAAAAGATCAGCAGGGGAGTCATTGGAGGAGTTCCTCTAAAAATGTCTGAAAAAGAGATTCTGGAAAAGATGAGCGGTGCAAAAGTAAAAGAAGTAAAACGGTAAAAAACAACAAGAAACAGAGAAAGATCTGACAGTTTATCTGTGCTAATTAAATTCGAGGAAGAGCAATTACCAAGCAAAGTATTCATTGGTTACATCAGTTATAATGTTAAAATCTACAATCCTCCACCATTGAGATGTTTCAAATGCCAAAAATTCGGACACATTGCAGCAGTTTGTAAAGGGAAACAGAGGTGTGGAAGGTGTGCAGGAGAACATGAATATGGTAAATGTGGAAAAGAAGCTAAAATAAAATGCTGTAATTGTGGTGGAGAACATACTGCTGCTTATCGCGGCTGTGAAGCAAGCAAAAGGTCTGAGGAAATAAAAAAAATGAAATTTGAGCTCGGAATAACCTATGCTGAAGCTGCAAAAAGGATCCCATCTCAGTTAGAAAAACCCAAACCTACAGTTCAACACACGGCAAATTTCAAACCTCTAGAGAAATCTCCAAAAATTGATGAAGACTCACTAATTGTTAAAAAGACAAATTTTGTTCTTTTCATGGTGGAAGTGATTAATTGTACTGCACAGACGACAAAAAAAACAGAAAAAATCAAAATAATAGTGAAGGCTGCAGAAAAATATCTGGACGTAAAAGATTTGAACTGGGAGATGGTTCGAAGCATGATGGGAGGACCGATGGGACCATCAGAAACTGGCAGAGTTATGATAACCTAGAGTAAATAAAAATTATACGGGCAAATGTGATTTAGTATTATGAGGGTTTAAGTTACACAGGTTTTTTTTTTTTATTGGGGTGAATCGTTTCCTGTTTCCTTGCTTTACTCCATATCAGTTGGTGGCGGTAATGCACATTTCACAAGTTTGCCAACCGCCATAAAATCTCATAAGAAGAAGAGGAAGAAGCTGCAGGATAGTAGCTCTTAAGGACTGGAACTGAGCAACCTTGCTCTAAATCGTTTGTAAGTACATATGAGGAGTACTTTTAATAAGTGGTGACTTGGGGAAAGTGCCAAACACATTTTTCGAAGCACAGTTTTCGAAAAATATTTTTTAAATAAAAAAACATCCCAAAAGTGCAGTACTTATTCATAGTTGGCCCCGTCTTAATTTGATCTGATGTTTAAGATGGAAAAAAAAAAAAATCATCTTTAGAGTATACAGTGGTTGCAGCATAATTCTGAGGGATGCTTTTCTTCAGCACAAACAGATGAACTGGTTATAGTTGATGGTAACATGGATGAAACTACATTCATAACAAAACACATGAGGCTGAGGCTAGAGTCTTAAAGCCTCAAACTTTACAGCACCAAATTAATACTAAACATGCAGCAAAGATTAAAGGGGAGTGATTTTTATTGTCATGAGTCAGAACAGAGGACTCAGTATTTTATACAGGACAGACAGTGGGATAATTCAAAAAGCTTTTATTAAAACAACAGATGATCGGAGTAGCAGCGACTAGGGTGTCTATCACAGGAAACTCTGGTTTAATAGTCCAGCCCGTGTCCAGAGAACGAGGTAGGATCCAGCCGCTGGGCTGCCAACAAGATCCGGCGGGCGATGCCCAGAGTGTCCTGGAGGACGCAGAACAAACAGGAGTTCGGAGCCAGATCAGAAACAGGAACAGGCTGGCTCAGGAGTTTAAAACAGTTTAGGTAAACCATTCAGATGGGAACAGACAGGCAGGTCCATGGTTGAGAGGCAGAAAAGGTCAGGATCAGGTAATCAGCATAACTGGATGCCAGCACCTTATTATAGGCAGAAGCAGATGGATCAGATGAGCAGGGATTAGAAACCAGGCAGAGTTGGACAAGTGACTGAAATTAATAATTAATTTCCAAGATCATGACACAAATGGCCCAGTCAAAGCACCGACCTAAATGCATCTAGGGCAACATCTGAAAGTTTATATTCACAAACCTTTTTATATAATGTGACTGAGCTTGAAGTTAAATCTCAAATAAGAGTAGGCAAACATATTAGATCATCATTCTTTTGCAATTTTACTCTAGTTATAAGGTGTAGTTGCAGCAGAAGCTGGTTCTACAAAGTATCGACGCAGGAGGTTGAGTAAACATTTTCAATTTTTTTTTCTATTGAAACCCCATTAATTCCTTCCATATTAAATTTTTATTTGGGCCATCTTAACATCTCCATCTCTGTTCCATTTTCTTACATTCTTTCCATCACCGGCACACTTGGAGGTTCTGCCAGTGGTTTCCATATTTTGGATAAACCTGAATCAGTCACCATAATTCCTAACAAGCCGTATTTGGTCTCAGGCAATGTACCTAATCACAGATATAGCATAAAAAAACAAACCCCCACAGCTTAGGGACTACTTAAAGGAAGTGCTGAGTGCTTTTTGTAGCCTGACATCTTGAGAACAGATCACTGTGTTCTGCTCAAGTAGTGTGCTCTTTCTTCAGTTTTGGTTGCAGGGGGTTGCTAAGAGCTTGAGGTTCAAATTCCCAAAGAAGCACTAGGTTTACATGAAAAAGACATGAATATTGTAGCTTTATTCTTTGAAATGCAATTTGTAAGAAGCAGTTAGTCTTGTTTAATCATGTAATACTGAATAAAATATAACAACAAAGCTAATTGATTTTTAATTACCACAAAAACATTCTGATGCATCTTTTTTGCTCCAGTGTGAGGTGATTTATTAGAATGGTTCAGCTAAGTGTTAAATACCACACATATCATTTAAACGTGGCCCATAGCCTGGACTCAGCTTCATGCTGTCCTATTTGCTCTGCAAGGCACTGAAACAGCCCACGGCTTAATCAGCCTGTTTGTATGTCTCAACTTCAGTGAACCTGAAAACAGTGTCTAAAAGATATGGATCCAATAAATACAGAGTTGAAATTACTTCAGGGTAATAATTTAGTTTTGAAAGTTAATCCCTTAAAAGGATCACCACAGTAAGGCATTATAGACTTATGAAGTATGACAGTCTTGCCAAAATTGGGATTTGAACCCAGATCCCTTTAATTAGAGACATATACGCTACACCACAGAGGGACTCTGTAAGTTTTGAAATAGGGAAGGGGACAACTATCCCAATATCTGTAGCCATCATTTAAAATTAATCTTTAAAGGCAATGACAACATGTAGTTATTTCTATTTAAGTCATTAAGGCAGAAAATGTCCTTTGTAGTGATTTCTTGCTCTCTTCTGGCTTTATGATGAATCTTGGAAAAGTCTCCATATCCTTTACACTTATTTTGAATTGTTAAACAATTTTACATTTCTTTGCTATAATCCCCTTTTATGAATATTTTGTTATTTTATGTGTAGATCAACACAAAGAAGTGCATAGTTGTATGCTTTTGCATTAACTAACTTGAGTTTAGTAGAAACATTGTCGCTTGAAACAGCTCAGAGTCTTTTGGGGAATTGTTTCTATTGCTTGTCAATATTCCTCAATGCAAAAAATCTGCCAAATTGGATGGTGAGCCTTTTGGAACATAAAATCGGTCTTGCCACAGACTGTTACCCATTCTAACATGCGTTTAGGTTTCATGTAAAACCAGTGGTTCTCAATCCTGGTCCGCAGACACAAGTTTCCTGCAAGTCTTAAGTGTCTACTTGGTGCAACACATGACTTATACGAAGGGATGGTGAACAGGTTTCTGCTGCACTTCAGGGCCGCTAAGGAGCTCATACAAACATTTGAAGCAGGTGTGCTGCAACACAAAGACATCTAAAATAGTTCAGCTCCATCTACCTCTGTAGTTTTTAAAAGATTGCTATTTGTTTAGTTGCAACTGTCATCCAATCATTCTGTCCTGCTGTTCGTTCCCCACTGAAGAAAATAATCCCCACAACATGATGCTGCCACAGCCATGTCTTGAATGGGTGTTAAGGCTGATAAGGCCAATTTGTGCCTACATATAGAGAACAACTAAAGATGATCCTGTCAACAGATTGTGCCATCTTGCAGAGCATTGCAATTTTAAGTGCTAAAAGGTATGAATTTGTACTAATCTCTTTACATTTTCCGGGAATAGGTTTTTATGGGGTTTGGACTACAGAGGACTGAATACTAATGCAAACCAAAATCCTACCTTTTAAGATTATACACGACTTTGAGTCAATCCTGCAAATTTGATATTGTTTTTTTCACTGTAGAAAAAAAAATTATATGATAACTTTTAAAAATTTTCCATTAAGAATATCAATATATTTGTACATGAGGACAAGTAAATGGCCTCTGATATTGGAACAGGATATTGTGAAATCAATTTTATGCTGAGTCCAAAAGAGTTTTTGCTGGTCTCGGAGGGAATGTGTTTCACTTCCAGTCAATCGTAATCAGGGACACGCCGAAGCATGCAGATGTTCACTGGAAGACTCACAGCTGTGATTTATGTACATCACACACATCACATCAAAATAACTGAATGCTTGCCGGACAGTTTTATTTGTTTCCAGTTCGAATTTGTTATAAAACATTTTTTTTTCTTTGTGGTAATGCTGGTAACAGGAATTATTTAAATAACACAGGTTTTTGACTACTCCATCACTTTTATGCAATAAATTGTTAAAAAATATCATCTGAGTTTTTAATTTTAAAACAACCATTCAATAATTTTATCACCTTATTTTATCCATGTGTAAATATGTTTGAGGAAAAAACAAGAGGGAGACTGGAGGGTGGTTGGGCACTACTTGAGCTATAAAAAGAGAAGAAAAGGAAGGACATGTTGAACTCTCACCATGAGTTACTAAACATTAAGAATCTGAGGAATTTCCCTCACACTTCCAGTGCTTACCCTCTGTCTGAAAGGAAAAAAAAGCAATTTCCCCGAATAGAGGCTAAAACATTGTCTCATTGGTCTTTATGAGTGACGGGAACACCTTTTCTTTTCCGGTACCTCTTGTTCTTTCCATGCCCTGGTAAAACGGAGGTTCCCCTCAACTGCTGGTGTTATACAGTAGGTACTGATGTCATGTCTGACTATTTATGGTAAAGCTGAAGCTATGCCACACAAACTAAATGAGTTTTTTATTTTTTTTTCCCAATTTGTCTTGAAATGACCTGTGAAGTATGGACAAAATGTCCTCCTCTGCTGAAAATAAATTAGAAACTCTGTGAATAAAGAACATTTTGATTATATATCGTAAAGCACCTTAACAATGCACATGTCTAATGATACTTTCTCAGTAAAGCATTTAAAATTTGGTGCTCAGATCTCAGAAAATTGCTCATAAAATGTCAAAGACAAATGTTACTGTATTATTTAGTTTGGCTTTGCAGGAAACTTATGCTTTTGGTGGACACCTCAATTTTTTCAACTTTGCATGTGTGGACAGTCTACATATAGGGGAGAAGTGGCCCAGTGGTTAGAGCAATGCTCTTGGGTCACAGAGGTTCTTCGTTCAACCCCCCCACACAGTCCCACAGACTTCCATTCTGGGTCCCTGAGCAAGACCTTTAACCTTCCCAGCTTCCCAGGTGCCGCACAGTTGCAGCACACGGCTCTCCCAGGGGATGGGTTAAATGCAGAGAGTGAATTTCTCCAGTGTAGGATGAATAAAGTATCCAAAAATATACATATGCTGTTGCACTTATTTTTTAAGCTCTAAAGCAGCTATGGTCTCGAACAAAGAAAGATATGAGCTACATGTAAATAAGTCAGTGTAAGTGGACTGGATTTTTACCCGTATTAACATCACTTATTTTAGTTTTTAAGGTTGTCAAGCTCCAGGGTGATACATAACATCTGAATATTTGTATCAATCACTTTTATTTTAACTTTTATTTATCACATTACTTGAAATACAATTTTTTATGGTTCTAAAACTTTTTTTTTTTATCAACCCCTCCAAAAAGAAAAGAAAGAACCTTCAACAACAGGCTTTAGAAATAGCAAAGGATGTAAAATGTTCAAAATCAGCAAGAGGATCACGGCTCTTTTCGTCTTTACGACTCTGAAGACCAATGGAGAGAAAAATCAGGGGGTCCAGTGGAACCCTTTGGGCTTCTTTCCTGTAGCTTGGCTTCACTCAAATGTCTTGCCTTCACAGACCATGCTCCCTTAAATCAGCTTGCAGCATTGCCAAGGATCTATCACAGTTTTATTGACAAGTGTTTGATTTACTTTTTGTGGTATATATTCAAGAAAAATGTGTAGTTTACCTATCCCATATCCAATGCTATACAGAATATGTACATCAGTTAAATAAAAATGTGTTCTTCAATTAATGAATGCGGTTTATTCATTCCATCCATCCATTTTCAGTCACGCTTAGCCCAGCTGGGGTCGCGAGGGGTGCTGGTGCCTATCTTCAGCTGTCAACGGGCGAGAGGCGGGGTAGGTCCTGGACAGGTCCCCAGTCTATCGCAGGGCAGCACAGAGACAAACAACAAACAAACAACCATCCACACACACACTCACACCTTAAAAGAATGTCATAGAGATGCCAATTAACTAAACAGTCATGTTTTTGGGTTGTAGAAGGAAGCCGGAGTACCTAGAGAGAATCCATGCATGCACAGGAACAAGGAAACATACAAACTCCATGCAGAAAGGAACCAGGAATCGAACACGGAATCTTCTTGCTGCAAGGCAGCGGTGCTACACACATGCTACACCGTGCAGCCGTCGTTTCTTCAGCTAAGATGAAATATAGTGTTCTGAGACAGGAACAGGCTGTCACCAGAGATGGGAAGTAACGAAGTACAAATACTTCATTACTGTACTCAAGTAGATTTTTCTGATATTTTTACTTTACTTTACTACTTATTTTTATGGCGACTTTTTACTTCTACTCCTTACATTTTTACACAAATATCTGTACTTTCTACTCCTTACATTTAAAAAAATTGGCTCGTTACTTTAGTTTTGAATCATTTCAATGGAGTTACCGTTATTATTTTTCACGTCATCAATACCAAATTCAATTTAATTGGATGGGAATCTACGTTGCATTTGACGCACCACTACAAGATGAATCGACAGATTCGGCGGTATTCATTGGCGGCAAATCATTGCAGCTTGGTGGCGGTGGCGTTAGCATAGTAGCATGGACTGAAAATGAACACAACGGAGATCTAGTCCTATTGGCAGACATCCATTTAAAATGTAGGCAACGGCATGAAAAAAGTGGTTTCTACTTTTACTTTTATACTTTAAGTAAATTTACAAGCCTGTACTTTGTTACTTTTACTTGAGTAAAGAAGTTTAATCAGTACTTCCACTTTTACCAGAGTATTTTTTAACACAAGTATCTGTACTTTTACTCAAGTACGGAAAGTGAGTACTTTTGCCATCTCTGGCTGTCACTATAAAAGATAGAGTTGTATGCCATGGCACAGAGGATTATTCCTGATCTGTTTGAGTTCCACTCCACATCTCAATAATCCACCAGGTCATTACAAGCTTTAGTTATAGTAGAATCCATGGTTTAGTATGTCATACCTTCCGTTTAAAGGCTCGCATGTTTAATGTCATAAAATAGTCTAGGCTCATCAGTTCATCTCCCCTGTGCTTGAGCTAGTTTTTGAGGCATTAAACATGGTAAAAAAATGAAAGGGTGTCAAAAGAAAAACAGGATTCCTTGCTGATCCACCAGTCACCAGCAAGGTTCATATTAACCAGGTCAGTATGATAAGCCATGTAAGAGTGGAGTTTGTTCAATGAAAGTACCCTGCAGCACCTAAATAATACAATGCTTCAGGTTATCTGCTCACTTCATAATTCTTCAGTTCCAGGGATTTAACTGAAAGCTCCACAAAAATACCCCGTAAGTTACAGAAAGTAACCCAGTTAGCAGTCACCTCATAAGACAATCAATTACCTGAAGGTACCAGGAAGAAACACAAATAGCACTATTCTTGTCCTGCAGGCCATTTGTATGAAATAGAAGAATGAATCAAACCAAATTAACTTTAAAATAGCTTGAACCACCAGGTTTACATCTTAGATGCCAAAATAATTTTACAAGAATGCCCCAGGTAAGCTCCAAGAAAGCACCAAATAAATACAAGGAAACTTCCAGGAAGTTCCTTAAAGGATGAAAAAGGATAAAAAAGAAAGAAAAAAAGGATGAGAATACCAGGCCACCTCATACAGTACCTCATAATGCTTAATAATTTCTGAAACAAATTCCAAGAAAGGCTTTTTCCTGATTCACTCAGTGAGATATTTAGGCAGATTTGTTCTCCTTCTTATTCTGAGATGCATGGGTAATCCTGCTGACTCTTAATAAAATTATTTTCTGGGGTAATCATGCTGTATGTGGTGTTTGAAGAGTGATCTGGTTTTCTGAGAAAGGGGCCAGAACTTCTATGACCTTATATCTGGAATATCCAGCACGCTGATATTCTTGCATGCATGGTGTTTGCTGAGCACAGACCAGGATGCAGCCCGTAGTATGTGATGTGTAGCCAATAAGAACACATTTCCTGAGAAAAAATACGACCTGTGCCTGCTGTGCTTTATCCACCCCTTTAACTAGTACCCTTTTAATTGGGATGTGTTTTCTCTGTTAAAATTAGTCCTCAAAGTATCCCCCATTGCTTCTTCCTCATTGGCCATGTTAATTTACTTCAAACTCACATTTGATCTGTAGAGGTTTTGTGAGATTTCCAGTCTGATATCTGGATTTTTTTCTAAGTGACACCTGTACATCAAACAATGCAGGCTTTTATTGTTGTGTGTGGGATCTCTTACTGTAGGTTTTAAAAAATTACATTACAACTTTAAAATCTTATAGTTTGATCCATGCATAACTTAAACTTAAACCCAGAAAATAATCAGCAAGCTCCAGAAAGTGACCAATACATTCAAGAAAGAACACATAAAATTCTTAAAAGTAAAGAGTAAGTTTAATGAGAGTATACTATACATATTGGTAAGGGAACTAGTAGGTTTTAGAAAGGATCCTCTATTTTCAAGAAGATTTGTGGAAACAACCTGACATATCCTTATACAAACAGAATACTACAAGCATTGAAAGAAATAAACAGTGCATTTTAGAAAGTACCTAGTAAGCTGTAAATAAGAAGCTAATACTGTAGGTTGTTCAGAAATGTACATGATAAAATGTAGAAAAGTTCTTGAAAATAACATGTACGTTCCAGGCTAGTGAGGGTAACATTTCCAGACCCTCTGGAAGGGAATGTCAAGATCAACACATTGAAATAGAAGCATTTTTAATAGAAACTTGAGACACGACGTACTAATTGGACATATAGAAATATTTACATTTTCTGACAGCATTTGGATAATCCGTACATATTGTTAATGTCTTTATAACCCGTAAAAACTAAGCAAAACGATAAAAATAGTCTTGTTATGCAATAGCAATATTGTTACTGTATGTTCAAACTTTTTAAAACTACTGATGTCTCACCCCAAAATGACATTTTGTCATATTCTAAAAAAGGCAAAGCTTTTTGAATAAGATTTGTCTTAGTCCAGCTTCTCTATAAGAGTCCGTCTCAAACTTACAAAACTACTCATGTACATCTTTTTTCCCTTTCTACTTTCCCCTACTCACCTCATTTAGTTTTAAACTCTGCTGGAGGTCCCCATGCAGCTGTGTATGCCTTCGGCAATAGGCTTTGTGAGGAAAAGTAGAGAAACAGAAGCTAAGTGTTTTGCTTCCATCAGGTTGCAGATGCCAGAGTCTTATGACTGACACTTTCCGCTGGTGCTCCCATTGGGAGGCCCAATACAGGGGTTTGCTCCCTGCTGGGCTGCAGGAATCACCAGCAGCATACAGTCAACCATTTGCAATGATATATGTTTTCCAGGTTTCAGAGTTTGGCACATGCATAAAATAAAGCTGTTTCTGCTTCTCTGAAAATAATAAACCACTGAATAAATAAATATTACATGTTGGAACAATGCTAACTGAGAACATATTCAATACATCATACATGAGTGACTCAATTCAAATCCTAATTCTCTCTTGAAACTATTAAAAACACAGAAGCAACAGGAAAGAGAGAGTTATGTTATTTCCAGTAAATAAAATAAAATCAAAAGTTTGAAATCTTTCCTTTTTTGACATAGAGTTTCATTGACTTCGTTTGCAGAAGGTAAACAGAACGACTTAGCTCATTAGGAAGGCAGTCCCACTAATGACAACAGAGCCCAATTAGTGTACATAAATCTCTATAATCTCATTACGGCTTATAATAATTCAGTACAGTGTGTTCTCTTGGCTGATGTATTGTAGATGAGCTGTAATTAAAACTGACCACTAAGAACCATTACGGAAACTACATAATGGTCTACTACAGCTACATCCTTCAACACATTTACTTTGAGCAGGAAATGTCCATCAAAGAAAAGTAAGCCCAGACTGTATTAAGGATCATGTGGTTTGAAACGTAGCTGGAAGACATTTTTAGGTACTCATCTAAGATACATTATCCTTAAAAAAGTGGACTCTATTTCTAACTGTACATCCATCTTGATTCACTAATATTTCACCAAAACTATTCTGCTGCTAGTCTATTTTAATAGGGTACTTGAATGTCTGTCTGCAGGGACTGTTGCTACTTTTATTTCCTGCTGCTTCCACGCTATATTCATTTGAGTGTTGAAAACCTGTTCGGTTATTTTGCAATATGCAGTATCAAATTAAGTGATTTCCAGGAACAACAGTAAATGGAGGAGGTTTTCTACGAATGTCTTCTCCCTGCTTGCTTCTCTTAAAACTTTCTTGCATTATTCCTATATCCCTAATGAAATAATGGTAGAATAAATAACTTACTGGATTTTAAAAACAGCTATTAGGGTTAAAAAGCGTTAACATTTGGGGTCAAAATATGCAGGCAAGCTAAAATAATATTTTTACCACCATTTGCAGTTTTTTAGATGTCTTTTGAAGATACATTATGGGCCGGATTTATCAAGATCCAATTTTGCGTGCAGTAATTTGCGCTCGCAAACTGGAATTTTGCGCGAGGGGCTGAACCATGGTTTGCGGATGATTTAACAAGAGCGATTGCGTAACTGGTGGCAGGTGCAAAACTGTTGGAGACACCCTATTTAAATGATGGTTTTGCGCGTTTTGTGGTTTGCGGCATGGCGAGTTTGGACAGCAGAAGGCGCAAAAGGAAATTCGACCCCATGGAAATGGAGGTATTGGTGGATGAAGCCAACAAACATTTAAGTGAGCTACAGCAAAGAAGTGTGCCTGTCACACAGAGGAACGCTATATGTGAACAAATCTGTAATAAAGTAAACGCTGTTGGTGAAACCTTGCGAACAGTGGATGAAGTAAAAAGAAGATACCAGGATATTAGAAGGCGAACCAAAGAAAAACTGGCATATAACAAAACATCTGCGAACAAAAGAGGAGGGGGCACAGTAGATGAGATGCCTCTGACCAGCATTGAGGAACAAGTACAGCTGATGCTCTGTGAGGAGCAAATCACTGGAATTGCATTTCCAAAATGGCAATGCTGGATAAACGATATGTTTTGATGATCGTTTTCCTCGTTCATTCCAAAAATATTCACACGGAGTGAAAAAATGCGTTCTCTGCGTCTCCTTGCTTCATTTCCATGTCTCCTTCTTGCGACAATAACCGCTGCCATGTGTGCGCAATTACGCATACAGACCATTTGCACCTTCTTTTGAAACGTGTTAAATATAGAGCACATACTGTTAGCAAAATTGCTTTCAGGTTTGATAAATCACTTTGCGAGTGCTAAATTAATATATTTACATGTTCTCCTCCCACAAGACGCACTTTTGCGTGTAAACGCCCCATATTGCATATTCATTGCAGAAAAAGTACTAAATGGATAAGAGGCGCTATTTAGCACGTTTTAAAGACCAAATCCTTTTAGCACGCTGTTGATAGATCAGTTTGTACATTTTTTAGCGTGCGCAGTGAAATAGCTCACGTTTTTATACACGCAAACCTTTAATAGATCCGGCCTTATGTGTTTTGAGGCCATTATTGGGAATATCACATTATCATGTCTAGAAATGTGACTGTTCTCTTTGTAAGAAAAATTGTCTAACCCATTTAACTTTTGCTCCTTTTCTGGCAAAAAGTCTACTTATTTTTCATATTTCTAAGTTTTGGGGTTCCTATTTTTTTCATTTTTCCTGTTATTTATGTTTTAAAAACTGATGTCTTATTATGTGATCTTGTGGGTTTAGTTTCTTAGTTCTTTGTTTCATTATGTTCTTTGTAGATATTAAATTGTTTCTGTTAGATTTCTGTTTAATTTTTAAAATTGGTTTTGTCTGTTTCTTTGAGCCTCTATTTGTGTTGCCTCAGCATCTTTGCTTTCATTCTACCACAGCTGCTCCAAATTGCATTAACCTATTTGTTTCCTTTGTCATTGTCAATCCCTGCCTTGATATTTAAGCTTCTGACTTATTTTTATTGACAGCCAAATATTTTCATTACCCTACTGTTTAAACTATCCGTTCTCTGCCTGTGTCCCATCAGCTGTTCCTACTGTGACAATTTTTTTCATTATTAGAAAACTCATTAGCTATGCTCTTTGGAACTTCATTATCACTATTTTCTAAACTAAACACTAAACTCTAAACTATTTCCTTTGCTGGTTATAACCAACTTTACTAGAAAGCAGAATCTCACATGTTTCAATTTTGACCTAAAATCCCATTGAATATTAGCCTGATGGGACATGATTGTAAAACAAGATTGGTTTGGATTTAAGCAAAATAGTTAAAAACCCTTAGAGAACAGTGGAACATAAAACCAAACTTATAGTAACGTTACATTTTGTGCTAAACTGCAAATAAAACCTCAAAGACAATTCAAGCATGCACTGTAAATAGCTAGTCATTCCTTAAACCAAGGTGCAACATGGTTAACAGTAAAAAAGAATAGTTTTTTTTTTTTAATCTATATCACAGATTCAAAGATAACCTGTGACCTGCTTCGACAGAGTAGAAAACACATTTGCAATATGCATATTCAAATATACATAATTAGTACAATGCACTGACTGGATTGTTTTATTTTGAAATACCAAAAAAGTTAAAAAAGTTAAGAAACAAACCACTAGACTTTGTTTTCCAAGTTTGAAGACGTTTCGCTTCCCATCCAGGAAGCTTTTTCATTTCAAAATGTCTGGTATAGTGTTGAGTTCCAAGCACAGAAACATGCATATTGAACTGGAAGAACAGGTCCACTTCTTAGTAATGGGGAGCTATTGAGGTTGTTGTTGGGCTGCAATAACCAATACTGGCCTATGCCTCTGAAAGGGAGTCGTTAGGGTTATTGTTGGCCAGGCTGACCAGGGGAGATGTTTTCATCCCCTGCATAATAATGAGGGTTGAAATGATAGCAGGAAGGAATCAACTCTTTTGCTGTGTTGTAGGTTTTTGAGAGCTGAAACCTGACCATCTCCTATGTTTAAGGTTTGTTTTTCTCTCTTTACATAAACGGCTTCCTTCCCAACCTCCTCAAACAACCTGTCTTCTTTCTTCAAAATGTGAACATTCTGATCCTCTAATGAATGTCCTTTGTTCATAAGGTGTAGGTGGACAGCAGAGCCTTGACCGAGGGAGGTAGCTTGTCTGCGTTAAGCCATGTGTCTGGGGAAAGGTTGTTTGGTTTCTTCGATATAAAGATCAGAGCATTCCTCACTCCATTGAACTGCATACACCATCCGCTAATCTTAGGTCTGGGGGGGTTTGTCTTTAGGATTTCACCAAGCACAAAATCCCAGTACATTTAAAACCAAATAAGACCCTTAGACAGAGGCAAGTGCATCTTAATAACAAACCCCCAAGTTTATAGAACTATATTAATTCCAGAGGACATATGTTTTTCTGTTGGTCTACTGGTTATCAGCGGTGTCAAGTAACGAAGTACAAATACTTTGTTAATGTACTTAAGCACACTTTTTAGGTATCTATACTTTTCTCCATGACTTATTTTTCTTCCTACTTCTGACTTCTACTCATTACATTTTCACACAAGCATCTGTACTTTCTATTCCTTGCATTTTTAAAACAAACTTTACTTGTTACTCTTGGCTTCGGATTAATGTTTATAAATATTTATTTAACGTCATGTGCGCAATCCAATGCAGATCATTGGCGCCATCCACATCTAGTGAAAACTAGTATAATTGGATGAAACATATAACGCAAACACTCACTGGTTAGTTAAAGGAAATCATCAGAAGCAAGCAGGGGTTCTCCAAACTGCAAACGTGAATTGTCTATGCAATGCTACAATGTCGGATTCAGAAAAATATGTCGAAATGTCTGAAAGGTCGGATACAGGCGAGAGCATATCGGGAGATTGAGACGGAAACCAGCAAGACCTCCCTCATCCTTGGCCCTATCTGAAAGAATTTTTCAAAATAGTCGAAAAATTGAGGTTTAAAATTCATATAGTGGCATCTGGCTGTTTTTTTAAAAGTTACTTTATACTTTTATACTTTGAGTAGTTTCTGGCACAAATACGTTTTCACTTTTACTTGAGTAAAGAAGTCAAGTTGAGTCAACTTTTACCAGAGTGCTTTTAAACAGCTGTATCTATACTAATGTAACAAATGTGTGTACTTTTTGACACCACTGCTGGTTATGCACAAAGAACAATATGATGACCTGTACTGCATATGACAGCAGTATAGTCCTTATAGCCAGCATTTATATCAGATAGAGCTCTATCATTAAAGTTTCAGTCAAAGGTCTATGTTAGCAGTGTCCAGAAAAAAAACAAAACGACTTTCTTAATTCATTGTTGCTTCCAGAAAGGCAATAGCAATGAAATGGATGAGGCTGAAGTAAATCATGCTGTAGCAGCAGTTTTCAGTTGTGTGCAGCTTTTAAGAAGCATTTTCTCGGGAGACGGAATGACTTATTCGAGGGCCAACTTACCCCTTGGAGCCTATCAGGTTTCTCTGCCAGCACCACTGCATCTGTTTGGAACAGTTGCTACTGTACTGTAAACCTCAGCATCACTAAAAGTTTCCTTCATAAGTGTTTTATGA